ACACATTTGGGTGTAGAAAAATAAAAAAAAATAGAAAATAAAATAAGAACCAATGAAATTAATCTCCTAACAAAGTAGCAAAAAATATATTTTTTTTAAATAAAAAATTAGTTTGAAAATAAATTTAGAAATTTATAATTTTTTAGAATGTTCATTAAGGTCTATTGGATATCTGAATTATTCATAGCATAAAACGCTTTATTCGATATTAAATAGAAAATACACTGGGGGCGTATAACTACTGACAGCAGTTATACGTCACCATGTTCAATAAAACAAGTGAAAAAGCGATAAGTTCGGCCGGGCCGAACTTTGGATACCCTCCACCATAGATATATTGACAGGTACTAGAAATGAAAATATAGGGAACATACCAAAAAGTGGACCTATACCGACATTTCTAAAAACGGATTATGTAAACCATAATACAAATTTTAGAAATTTTTAAAGGATAATTATACCCTCAGCCTTATGGCTAATGAGGGTGTATACACTTTAACACGGTGAAAATGTGCCTCATCGAAATATTGGTTCTAGACCCCACGTTTCTTTGGACCAAATCCGTTTCGGAAAATTTCAGATTTCATCCGAACTTTGCCCATCTTATTATTTCTTCCAAGCTTAGTTCAAATTCTGGAACTTCCAATCAGGGGTTAGGTCTAAATGCGGCTATAGTTCATTATCGAACCTTACGTTCTAATTGTTTATCTCTCTATGCTCCGCAGGTGAAATGTTTACAAAAGAGTCTTAGAACCAAACTCAAAACGCGGAACTAATCAGATGACTATTTTAATATAACAAGGGGGTTATATGGGAACTACCCCAAAATAGGGGGCGAATATTAATAATTTTTGGTAGGGAGATTTGTCACCATATACGACTACAAATTACCAAATTGCAGCAAATTCGGTTGAAAAATGCGCTCAAGAACCCCCAAATACAAAAAAATTGGGGGTACCCTTATATGGGGGCTATACGATGAAAATGGACCTATATTCATAATTTTTGGTGGAGAGATTTGTCACCATATACGACTACAAATTACCAAATTGCAGCAAATTCGGTCAAAAAATGCGCTCAAGAACCCCCGAATACCGAAAATTGGGGGTACCCTTATATGGGGGCTATCCGAAAAAATTTACCTATATTCATGATTTTTGGTAGAGAGATTTGGAACTTATTAAGAACCCAATGTACCAAATTTCAGCGAATTCGGTTGAAAAACGCGCTCAAGAACCCCAAAATAACGAAAATTGGGAGGTACCCTTATATGGGGGCTATCCGAAAAAATTGACCTATATTTATAATTTTTTGTGGAGATATTTAGTACCTTTTAAGAACAGCCAATCCGGTGGGAAATACGATCCAAACCGCCAAAATACTGAAAATTAGGAGATACCGTATATGGGGGTTACCAGAAAAAGTGGACCTATATTTATAATTTTTTGTGGAGACATTTAGTACCCAATAAGAACTCAATGTACGAAATTTCAGGGTATTAGGTTGAAAAATGCGCTTAAGAACCCCAAAATGCCGAAAATTGGGGGGGGGTACTATCATATGGGAGCTATGCCTAAACGTGGACCGATATATCCCATCTTCGAATTTGACCTGCCTGCAGACAAAAGTCAAACCTATGCAAAATTTCAGCACCCTATCTCAATTCCTTCAGAAGATAGCGTGATTACAACAGACGGATGGACATGGCTAGATCGTCTTAGAATTTTACCCTGATCAAGAATATATATACCTTATAGAGTCGGAAATGAATATTTCGATGAGTTACAAACGGAATGACAAAATTAATATACCCTCCATACTATGGTGGAGGGTATAAAAATTTTAATATTCGCATTAATTAATTTTTAGAATCCAAGCCTTATATTAGGTCCTTAAAAAATAATTTTAAAAAATCCACGCCTTATATCAGGTCCATAAAAATATTTTTAAAAAATCAACGTCTTGTTTAAGGCCTCCAAAATTATTCTTAAATTAGTGAGCGAAGCAGTATAGTCGCTACCCTACACAACTACCACGGAACTCTAACTTTCTGCGGATGTTTCTTCCAAGCCTGGGCAATATTTCCATCCTTCTAAAAGTCTTAGAAAAAATATTTTAAAAATCCAGGCCTCTGATAGTCCGCTAGAAAAAAAAAATATTTTAAAAATCCACGTTACTGATAGTCCTAGTCCTGATATTTACACCCTCTTGCCCGATTAGAGGTCAACAGCACCTCTTCCTTACACTGACAGCCCTTCTAATTACTTGTCTAGATTCCCGACTCAAAAAAAATAAGTTTTCGGTCCACTCCATCCCAACATTATTATCTGATCACCACTGAAAATCATAGGCGTTGTCCTTGACCACAACTGGAATCTCATGGAAAATTTCAAAGTGATCAGCGCTATATTTCCGCCCTCTAGTGCGGTAATGGGTTACTAAATTATATATGAAGACGTAAGCACCTGTGAATATTTAAGTATAACCCCATATCCGGGTGCATACGACAACATAATTGGTATCGATTTAAAGGTAAACCACTCCCCTTGGATAGGTTATCAACTTCTCCGGTCTATGTCCTTCAGGAGTAAATATATACGCTATAGAACACACATTTTGTAATTTTTCACACAAAAGTCAGGGTCCATTTGACCCGCTAAATATTGACCGATCTTTATCAAGACTGGCATGCTTATTCTTTGGCCTGATTCCCTTCTCCATGTAAAAATTCGCGATGTTAGGGCCATAATTGCGACGGCTGGAGCGACCAGAAAATCAGACAAAAATAAAGTTTTTGGTCCATTTCATCACCTAAATATTAACCGATCTTTACCACATAATAATAGGGGTCTTTATTATCCCGAACCCATCCTACATGCAAAATTTTGTGAAGATTGGTCCATAAATGTGGCCTGTATCGTCTTTACAAATTATAATGGACAGACGAACGGACGAACACACATGTTCAGATCAACTCAGCTAGTCGAGATATGACGATCGCGACGTTACAAACTCTTGGGGCTGCAGAAAGCTATAATACCCTGTAGGTATTCTTCCTCCTATAGGAGAGCTGCATGTCTTCTTCTTCCCATGGAAAACCTGTGGGTATTGTTTTTCCTATGGAAGACCTGTAGATATTCTTTTTCTTATAGGATCGTCTTCTTCGTCCTAAAGGAGAACTTCTTCCTGTGGAAGAGCTGCAGGTATTCTTCTCCCTATGAAACACTTGAAAGTATTTTTCTTCCTATAGGAGAGCTGCATGTGATTTTTTCCCTATAGGAATGTTGTGGAAGAGCGACAGGTATGCTTCTTCCTGTGGAAGAGCTGCAGGCATTCTTCTTCCTGTGGAAAAGCTGCAGGTATTATTCTTCCTATGAAAGAGCTAGAGGTCTTCTTCTTCTTCCGTTGAAAGAGTTGCAGGGATTCTTCTTCCTGTGGAAGAGCTGCAGGTATTCTACTTCCTATGGAAGAGCTAGAGGTCTTCTTCTTCTGCCGTTGAAAGAGCTGCAGGTATTCTTCTTCCTGTGGAAGAGCTGCAGGCATTCTTCTTCCTGTGGAAGAGCTGCAGGTATTCTACTTCCTATGGAAGAGCTAGAGGTCTTCTTCTTCTTCCGTTGAAAGAGCCGCAGGTATTCTTCTTCCTGTGGAAGAGCTGCAAGTATTCTTCATCCTATGGAAGACTTGGAGGTATTTTTCTTCCTATAGGAGACCTGGAGGTTTTCTCCTTCCTATAGGAGAGCTGCATGTGATTTTTTCCCTATAGGAATGTTGTGGAAGAGCGACAGGTATGCTTCTTCCTGTGGAAGAGCTGCAGGCATTCTTCTTCCTGTGGAAAAGCTGCAGGTATTATTCTTCCTATGAAAGAGCTAGAGGTCTTCTTCTTCTTCCGTTGAAAGAGCTGCAGGTATTCTTCTTCCTGTGGAAGAGCTGCAAGTATTATTCATCTGGTATTTGGTATTCTTCGCCCTATGAAATACTTGCAGGTATTTTTCTTCCTATAGGAGACCTGGAGGTATTCTTCTTCCTATAGGAGAGCTGCGTGTGTTTTTTCCCTATAGGAAAGCTGTGGAAGAGCTGCAGGAGTCTTCTTCCCGTAGAAGAGCTGCAGGTATACTTCCTCCCTGTGGAAGAGCTGCAGGAGTCTTCTTCCCGTAGAAGAGCTGCAGGTATTCTTCTTCCTATAGGAGAGCTGGAGGTCTTCATCTTCCTAGAGGAGAACTGTAGGTCTTCATTTTCCTGTCGAAGAGCTGCAGGTATTCTTCTCCCTTAAGAAGAGCTGGATGTCTTCTTCTTCCTATGGAAGATTTGCTAGTATTCTTCTTCCTATGGAAGACCTGGAGGTATTCTTTTCCTATAGGAGAGCTGCATGTAATTTTCTTCCTATAGGAGAGATGGAGGTATTTTTCGTCCTAGAGGAGAGCTGGAGGTATTCTCCCTCCTATAGCAGAGCTGCATGTATTCTTCTTCCTGTGGAAAAGCTGCAGGCATTCTTCTTCCCGTGGAAGAGCTGCAGGTATTCTTCTTCCTATGGAAGAGCTAGAGGTCTTCTTCTTCCGTTGTAAGAGCTGCAGGTATTCTTCATCCTGTGGAAGAGCTGCAGGTATTCTTCTTCCTGTAGAAGAACTGCAGGTATTCTTCTTCCTGTAGAAGAACTGCAGGTATTCTTCCTCCTAGAGGAGAACTGTAGGTCTTCTTTCATCCACACGGATGGTCTTTATAAAACATTTTTATAAAATCCAAGCCTTTTGGGTCCATAGGAAAATTATGTTTGAAAAAAGTACTTCCACGTATTTTTCTGCCTTGAAAAATATATATTTTCAATTTTGACCCCTGAGTGCGTATGACTGCTGTCAGTAATCATACGCCCCCCCATTGCATTGAAATCGATTCGTTTAGTTTCTGAAGCATACTTTCAGGCTTAATGTCAATTTTCTGTCAATTTTCTTCAAAATCAGTTTTTTTTATTATTTTTCATAAATTAAATTTAAATCGAAACTTACCTGCACGACTTTTGCATAACCTCCGCCCGATTATAGCCACTAATTTTGCAAAACGATTCATTGCAATAGACAATGGGGAAATCCACAATTTGAGCATTGGCCAAAAGGAATGAACTGTCCGCTGGAAAAAAAGGAAGAAAGAAAGTTAAATCGAAGTTTTTGTAATTTTTTTAGTCGGGTTTAAAAAAATTTCTTCCTTAAAAAAATTTAAAAAAAGTTATAAACAAATAGTCTTCTAAAAAAATTATAAATATTTTTGAGGAATTTTTTAGAGCCTGGATTTTTAAAATTAGTCTCCGAAGGAGATACTGTGTCATTCACTAGTTTTTAAATTATTTTTTAATATGAATTTTGTAGGATTTTCCTTTTTTTGAGAAGTTCGCCACGGAGCGTATGACTGCCGACAACACTCATACGCACCTCTAACCTATAAAACAATATTTTTTTATTTTGAAATCTTATTATGCCATCCCTTGGTGGCATTGATTGATTTTTGTTCCGAAAAATTTCCCCAAAAATGTTTTGAAAATTAATTTATCAAATTCTGCCCTGCAATTTTGTCCCAATTACCCAGAAATTTGTTAAACCCAAAAAATCAATAGATCCCGATATTGGCTAACTAACAAGTGTTTCACATCGTATCGATTAACACATAACCCATAGCAGATTCAGACAAATGATGTGCGTATATGACAGATGATAAGGGGGTGGGTGGGATGATAGTAGGACGATGTAATTTATTTCGGATCATCAATCAAATGTTAATAAAAGGAAAGGAAAAAGGACAAGAGAATGTTGCAGAAGTAGCAGGGTCACATGGACTTAAAACATCATCATAAATATGTTATAACCAATGTCCTCTTGTTTGGTAGGACACCTTCAGGATAATTATTTTTTTTTGGTTGCTGGTAATCGTATTTGAATGAAGGATGTTCATGGAAAGGATATATTTGAATCGGAGAGAAAACATAATAATGCAAAAATAAATTAAGGGCTAGAGAAGCGTATGAGTGCTGTCAGCTGTCATACGCTACAACGTTCAGAACTTTAAAATAAACTCAAAAAGGTAATTTTACTTCTAAAAACGGGTTTAAAAAATGCTCCCCGCCTTATAGGAGGTCCTTAAAAATACGTCCTTAATTTTAAAAAAATCCCCACCTTATAATAGGTCCTTAAAATCTTTTAAAAATCCACGCCTTGTCGGAGGTCCGTAAAAATATTTCTTTAAAAAAATCCACACCCTGTCGGAGGTCCTTAAAAATATTTCTTTGAAAAAAATCCACGCCTTGTCGGAAGTCCTTAAAATCTTTTAAAAAATCCACGTCTTGTCGGAGGTCCTTAAAAATATTTCTTTAAAAAAAATCCACGCCTTTTCGGAGGTCCTTAAAAATATTTTTTTAAAAAAATCCACGCCTTGTCGGAGGTCCTTAAAAATATTTCTTTAAAAAAATCCACGCCTTGTCGGAGGTCCTTAAAAATATTTTTTTACAAAAATCCACGCCTTGTCGGAGGTCCTTAAAAATATTTCTTTAAAAAATCCACGCCTTGTCGGAGGTCCTTAAAAATTTTTTTTTTTAAATCCACGCCTTTTCGGAGGTCCTTAAAAATACTTCTTTAAAAAATCCACGCCTTGTCGGAGGTCCTTAAAAATATTTCTTAAAAAAAATCCACACCCTGTCGGAGGTCCTTAAAAATATTTCTTTAAAAATTTTTAAATTCCGCTCCTTCTTCCAGGTCCTTTTTTATTTTCATTTCATTTTCTTTAAGTTCCCTTCCTATAATCGATGAACACACACATCGAGACAAATAAATCTTTATTAGATTAGTTAACACAGGCGCTAAGCTTTGTTCGGATTTACTTTGTCAGTCTGTCGGATTGGTTGTCTGAAAATGTTCTTCCTGCGCGCCTATTTTAATGTTTTCTTCGTTGCGAACACTAATTTGATGCGTAGATACGCCCTCCATTTGTAGAACAGAAAAAAATCCAATTAAAGTTAAAAGGCAAGAAAAATTTCCAAAGAGGGTGTGAAGCTAAGCTAGAGTGGAGGAGGTGCAACTAAGCAAGAGTGGAGGAGAGATAAAGCAGGGCAGAGGCGTGGTATTTGTCGATCATGGAAAATAAATTATTTTTTACTTTCTTTCCCTTAAGAGATTGATGAAAACCTTGAGGCCTTGTTTTAGTTCCCTCTGAAGTATCCCCCTTACTGCCTACGCCCCTGTTCGAAATGCCATCGAACCTGTTTTCTAATCACAATAAAATTCTCCAACATCTGGAACTTCGTTTGTTTTTATTTCCAGACAACAAAATGACATTTCTGTCCGTGGCCTTTGTCCTTGTCATCTGCATCATTCTGATCATCATCCTTTGCCGTCTTCCTTCTCACAGGTCCTCAGCAATGGTAATCAATTATCAAACTTGATTTTATATTCAACAGCGGTTCCAAGTTATTTTTCCTTTGTTTTTGTTCTTTTCGATTTAAAAATGTGTTTGGCAGTTATGAAATTGAGTTGTGTGCGTATGGAAACTGAAATCAGTAATGATTTGAATGGCATTGCTATACCATAAAAAATATATTCTTAAAAATATCCCGCTGTGAACAATTATTTTTTTTTTTTTTTGGAAATAACCTTTAATTAAATGAGTTCCGCATGGGATAGCTTGAGTGGAAAAATTTTTATAATATTGCCTGAAGGGTTCTTCGACACATTCCGCAAGAAATTCGGCAAAATATGCTATGGTAAAAATTTGAGAAATTTATTTCCAAAATAACTCAATAATTAATAATAGTCATACGCAACCAGGTACCATAATTAAATATTTTTTAAAGTGCTGTAAACTGATTTTTTAAAAGATCTGTAAACTGAATTTGTACAAATGTGAAGAACTGAGAAATTTTTTTTGTAATAAGGGACTATATTTTAATAAAATCCAAGACTTATGTCTCCGATAAACCTTCTTAAAAAGCCCTCTGTGAAAAAATATTTTTTTTTCGAAATAGCTTTTAATTAAATAAGTTCCGCATGGGATAGCTTGAGCGGAAAAAATTTTCTAATATTGCCTGAAGGGTTCTTTGACACATTCTGAAAGAAATTTGGAAAAATATGCTATGGTTAAAATTTTAGAAATTTATTTCCAAAATAACTCAATAATTAATAATAGTCATACGCAACCAGGTACCATAATTAAATATTTTTAAAAGTGCTGTAGTGTGAATTTTTTTTTTACAAATGTTGAGAATTAAAAAATTTTCTGTATAATAAGGGACTATATTTTAATAAAATCCAAGACTTATGGATCTGATCTACCTTGTAAAAAATATTCCTAAAAATAGCCCTCTGCGAAAAAAATGTATATTTTTATTTAACCTCAATGAAAGGATTTACCCATTGGTTATATTTAATGCAAAATATTTTGCAATATTACCTGAAGGGTTCTTAGTCAGAATCCGAAAGAAATTCGAACAAATATGCTATGGTAAAAATTTTAGGAATTTATTTCCAAAATAACTCAATAATTAATAGTAGTCATACGCAACCAGGTACCATAATAAAATATTTTTAAAAGTGCTGTAATGTGAATGTTTATACACAAATGTGAGGAATTAAAAGCAGTGTGAATAATAGGGATCTATATTTTAATAATATCCAGGACTTATGACTCTAATCTACCTTGAAAAAAATATTCCAGAAATTAGCCCTCTGCAAAAAAATATTTTTTAACTTTACTTCAATGAAAGGATATGCCCCTTTGTTAGATGTAATGGAAAATATTTTGTAATATAGCTTGAAGGGTTCTTAGTTATATTCTGAAAGAAATTCGGAAAAATATGCTATGATTAAAATTTTAGAAATTTATTTCTAAAATAACTCAATAATTAATAATAGTCATACGCAACCAGGTACCAAAATAAAATATTTTTAAAAGTGCCGTGAAGTCAATTTTTATTAACGAATGTGAAAAATTGAAAATAGTTAGAATAGTAAGGATCTATATTTTAATAAAATCCAAGACTTTTGACTCTGATCTACCTTGAAAAAAATATCCCTACAAATAGCCCTCTGCGAAAAAAATTTTTCTTTTAACTTTACTTCAATGAAAGGATTTACCCATTGGTTGTATTTAATTCAAAATATTTTATAATATTGCTTGAAGGGTTCTTCGACACATTCCGCAAGAAATTCGGAAAAATATGCTATGGTAAAAATTTTAGAAAATGTTTTCCAAAATAACCCAATAATTAATAGTAGTCATACGCAACCGGGTACCATAATTAAATATTTTTAAAAGTGCTGTAGTGTGATTTTTTTTTACAAATGTTGAGAATTAAAAAATTTTCTGTATAATAAGGGACTATATTTTAATAAAATCCAAGACTTATGGATCTGATCTACCTTGTAAAAAATATTCCTAAAAAGGCCCTCTGCGAAAAAAATTTATATTTTTATTTAACCTCAATGAAAGGATTTACCCATTGGTTCTATTTATTGCAAAATATTTTATAATATTGCCTGAAGTGTTCTTCGACACATTCCGAAAAAAAATTCGAAAAAATATGCTATGGTAAAAATTTTAGAAAATTTTTTCCAAAATAACCCAATAATTAATAGTAGTCATACGCAACCAGGTACCATATTTAAATATTTTTAAAAGTGGTGTAAAGCGAACTTTTATTTACAAATGTGAGGAATTAAAAGCAGTGTGAATAATAAGGATCTATATTTTAATAAAATCCAGGACTTATGACTCTGATCTACCATGAAAAAAATATTCTTAAAAGGTCGGCTTATAAAAAAGTTTTTTTTTATTTTGGAACAATGAAAGGATTTACCCATTGGTTATATTTAATTCAAAATATTTTATAATATTGCCTGAAGGGTTCTTCAACATATTCCGCAAGAAATTCGGAAAAACATGCTATGGTAAAAATTTTACAAATTTATTTCCAAACTAACTCAATAATTAATAGTAGTCATACGCAACCAGGTACCAAAATAAAATATTTTTAAAAGTGCTGTAATTTGAATTTTTATACACAAATATGAGGAATTAAAAGCAGTGTGAATAATAGGGATCTAGATTTTAATAAAATCCAAGACTTATGGACCTGATCTACCTTGAAA